GCGTGTGCACTGATGCCTTTTTGGTAATACTGGTGGTTCAGTGTGTACTAATGACCTCTTGGTGACACTACTGGCTTTGTGTGTGCACTGATGCCCTCTTGGTGACGCTGTTGGCTTTGCGTGTGCACTGACGCCCTCTTGATAATACTGGTGGTTTAGTGTGTGCACGAATGCCCTTTTGGTGACACTGCTGGCTTTGCGAGTGCACTGATACACACTTAGTGACACTGGTGGCTTGGTGTGTGCACTGATACACACTTAGTGACACTGGTGGCTTGGGGTGTGCACTGATGCTCTCTCAGTAGATACCTGCCCTAACGAACAATCAAATATTCTAAGTAAACTACTTTTCCTAAATACCTTACTGCTCCAGGCAGATTAGAAGAATTCTGGTCCAAATTTGGAGTTTACATCTTGAATTTGTTTACATGGTTCTAATTTAACTTTCATGACTAGCTTGTTCATTAAAACAAATTAGAACTGGCATTTGGAGTGCAGGACTTCTCAGGTGAATGATTCTATCAGCAAATAAGTATGTTATTATATAAGTATGACTGAGCCTAGTAAAATGGCCAGCTGTCAAACATATTTGTTTAAAAACTAATTTTGAAAATATTGTATTTCTTGATATGCAAGCTATGTATTAATGTTAAACAGATAAGGTTATTTCATTCAAGAGCACATGGAACCCACTAGTGAACAAAATGACAAAAAAAACTTCATATCATTAATCATATCATGAAACAAACTGATGCATGTCCAAAAAGTGATGTCGTCCATACAAACTAACAAGCAGCCTGTCGGCTGAGATAGCTCCGCTGTTGGCAATGCACATTTCAATTCAAGAACTGAAGATATCATTAGAAAATGAACAATATGTATAGTACATTGTATCAAAGCAATCAGACTTACTGTTCTCAACAAGAATTCGAAAAACTATAACATTTTACCAAAAATATTCACCAAAATTAGATAATTGAAGATATCATGAAATGAACATATCTAAGAGAGGTCCACATGTAATGGACATATTATATATGTAATATCAAAGCTATCAGAATTGCAGTTTTTAACTAGAAGTCAAAAATATCACTTTTTACCAAAAATGACAAAAATATTCACCAAAATTAGAGAATTAAAGATATCATCACGAAATGAACATATCTGAGCGAGGTCCACATGTAGTACCTATATATGTAATATCAAAGCAATCAGACTTGCCGTTTTTAACAAGAAGTCAAAAATATCACTTTTTACCTAAAATGACAAAAATAAGAGTAATACTCTCACCTCTCAAATAAATGTACCGGTACGTTTATTTTTTTTCACCTCAAAATTTGCCTAGTACATTCTTATTTTAGACGGTACGTTTATTTTATTTTTCATAATCGGGCAAAAGTTCCGGGAAAATTTGCGACCCTGAACGTAAAATAAAAAAAAAGACAACTAACGCACCACTTCCCAGCGCCGAAAACACAGTTGAAAAGTACCGACAAGTCTGAATGCAAATAGATTGCCTATCGGACTGAAAGAATAAGGCCATTGTCTTTGTGAATTACTCCAGTCACATCAAATTTGCTTCCCCAAAGTGCTACATTGTAAAGGAGAATAGTTGATACAAATTGTTTTTCATTGCGTAGATAATTGCATACAAGGTAGTCATACATTTAGAAGCAAGTAATAATCACAACAACAACCGGCTATAACAAGAGTTTCCAAAAGTTTTATTACAAAGAATTAAATCTTAACAAGCAGCCGATCGGCTGAGATAGCTCCGCTGTTAGCAATGCACATTTCAATTAAAGAACAGAAGACATCATTAGAAAATGAACAATATGTATAGTATCAAAGCAATCGGACTTACAGTTTTTAACAAGAAGTCGAAAATATCACTTTCTACCAAAAATGACAAAAATATTCACCAAAATTAGAAAATTGAAGATATCATCACGAAATGAACAAATCTAAGAAAGGTCTACATGTAGTATCTATATAGTAATATCAAAGCAATTGAACTTTT